CATAGAGACTGCGTACTACCAGTTGATCATAGTTCCAGGGTTCCCTGTGGTCAGGTGACGGCCGAACTTATGTACCTTGGTTGGTAAATACAGTATGTATTTATGTTTCTGTAATCGCCAATTACACTCCATTACTGTAATTTCTACGACTATCAATCACTAACCACCTTGACCATTAACATTATTATAGTAAGATAACATTACTGAATTTGAACAAGTATAGCCGTGAGGAGAGTTCAATCTTGAAAATATTAATCAGGTTTAAAAGGAATGTAAATGTCAAGACAAAATCATTCAACATAGGAATTAAGAAAATACATACATTTAAACATGACTTTCGTAAACATCAGTGTTCCATGTGATGCTCCGACTAATTTTCGAGAAAATGGACGTGTATTTGTTAGTCAACGCATCGCTCCCCTTACACGTATCTTGGTATGTAAAACTCTGAAAGGATCAGCACTACGTGATTTGATTAGCAAATTCACTCCTACAAATCACATTCACAACCATCATACACGTGCGCCCACAAATGTTAAGCGACTATAACAACACATGCTAAAAACGCAGAGGTTCATGGGTAGACGCTCGTTTGTAAACAAAGACATATGACGCATGCGCAGACGACGACTCCCTCACTTTAAATCTCCTTATTCCAAAATTCATTTCCAGTAACGGTCGGGGAGATGTTTTTGTTTTTTGAGGTTTTCATTTGTAGAACAAATCCAGATCTTTTACTTCTATTAGTATATCTGAGCATCCTTTACTTGATGTTATCAAGAAGCAGGTTTATTGTTTATTTTTATCATGCGTGTTACATACTTTGTCTTTGTATTAGACCCCAAGGTAGATTACACTCAGATTTCTAATATACTTTCATTTTTCACATGCAGTGGCGGATATAGGGTTTCTGGGAATAAGAACCCTTCTCTTAGATAACAAATTAAATAAATTCCACAACTACATGTCGGTGTCTACCTTGCTATATATTTTGTCAACAAATCTTCCAGCCGCCTATTCGAATCCAAAAGGCAAATTTTCATATTCTTTTCAGTTGCAATTAATGGGTGTTTATTATTTTCAGTCTTTCAACAAAACTCAGCTTACTTCAATGTCTGTAGTCACAGGCAAAACATTATTTTCACAATGTAATCTCAATCAAAATGAATAAATATGCCTAAAAAATCAAAGTTATCCATTGCATAAAATTAAATATGCAATAAAATCAAGTTGTATGTCACTCCGTAAATTTATATGTATAAATTAACCTTTGACCACCCTAGGCTATAAAGCGTCCTCTATATGGCAACTATAATATTGAAAATGTCTTGGGAAATTCTCAGATGCGGCACATTCTATTAATAAAAAAATACGCATAGGAAAAAATACAGGTTCATGAACACTATGAAACTACGCGCAAATTACACAGACAACACATTACGAAACAGTTAAAGATAAATACATTACATTGAAATGATAGCATAATCGAACTTGATTGATTGATTTGAAATTCTCACGAACATTGAAAAAATGCTGGTTACGTGGTAACGTAGTTGGTAGTTTAACATCGTTCAATTTGCGAGGCCGAACTCATACGAACCGAGGCCGAAATCATACGAATCGAGGCCGAAATCATATACGAACCTACAACCGTAAACGTCACAGTATGGCAGGCCCACACTCTACTTAGATTTCATTGATATAAATATAGTGTGTATATAGTCACTATATCATCTATTGCCCAATTTAATATGATTTACTTTTTAAGTATGTATTATGCATTTCGTATATGTGCTTTTAGAGCTATACAACAGCCATTATTACTTTGAAAATTCGTTGACTGCCAAAGGATTATTGAACAACATACCGATGGTGACCTTGTTATGACCCCAACACAATCAAGTCCCCGACCCCATTGATATTCAAATTGTCTGGACTATAAAAAAAGTAAGAGTATGATTTGGCCTTGCACGATCTTGCGTAGTTTCAACAGAGATTCCTACAAAGATTACTACAAAGTTTCTGATCAAAACGAAGATTGTCAAGAACCAATCAGGTAAGTATGGTCACCGGGAAGTATGTGGATTTTAAAAAAAAACAATCTTGGTGGTACTACTGCCACAGCATGTAAAATAAAAACAATCGAAATCTGCTGTGAAAATGTCATAAGCTGTAACAACTGTGCATAACAATATAACACTGTACGTAAGTGGACATAACAAAACATGGTTGTTATGAAGTTTAACGTCTGATAATAGTTACTTTGATTATAGTTTATTTATGTAATTAGAACGTCAACATTCAAGATGGAAGCCGGCTGCTTTGTCATTTGTTTGTCTGACCATACGATTCATACGCAAATTCATTTTCAACCGATACAAGTTCACTGTCAAATAAGTTCGTGATCATTGACATAATGGTTCATAGAAGATAATCTTGGTTATTATTAATAAAACAACTTCTAGCTACAGATGCATGTGCTTTAGTTGTGACACAAAAGAATCACGTATAGAAATGCATTTAGTGGTACAATAACCAGCCACTCCCGGTGTCTGAAGCGTGACGTACTATACAAGGCTGTTTCTGACGACTGGCGTCAGATTTGTCTCATTCTGCAACAGTATATATATATTTATTACAAAGCAAAAGGCCATTGGCCCAAAGAGCAAATACAGTTTCACTTAATAATTGTAACAATAGAGAAAACAAAAATCATTTAAGTTCTGCTTTTCATGGCGAAAATTTCATGAAAATATTGACAGTGGCTTGTCACTCTGTCGGGGCCGGCCGTTCCCCTAGCTTTGTGGTTGGTTAATGCTTATTAACTCTTTGACGACGTTTAACTCGTCGTCATAGATATAAACGCGTTTACCCAACTCCGAATTTACAAAAAGCTTATCAAACCTGAGTCTAACTTTGGCGGTGCTATCACAAGCTAGAATTTGACGTCTCTTTGCTAGTAATTTACTGCGAATTCCTCTCATTCTTGGAGAGAAGTCTTCATCAATGGAAATTTCGGATCCCTTCAAATTAAAGGCGTTACGTAGGACATGTTCTTTGTCTTTGAAAAAAGAGAATCTTGCAATGATTGGACGTCCAGCAAGAGAGAACGGGGTTCCGGCAAGTCTGTGCACACGTTCAAATATAACTTCCTTGACTATGCCAAGTTTATCCCTAATCAAATCCTTGATTATATTCTCAGTCGTATCCCAATCTTTAGACGAATTCGTTTGTTCTATTCCACGGAATATGAGATTACACCTACGGTCCCTATTATCTTTGTCATCATTTTGTTTCCGCATAGTTTTCACTTCGCCCCTCATTCTGCAACAGATACTAGTAACTGACGAATTAAATATGTATATATTTGTTATTAATTTTCTAGAGATTAATTTGGAAAATAAACAACATGGACAGACTGAACATATCTATTGTCAACAATAGTTTTGTGAACACTACTGGGAATGCTACAAAAGGTGGTGGTCCTCCATTGGCACTGGTCGTCGCTAACCAGGCTGTGATAACAACAGCATTGGTGATTTTGATGATTGGTATGGGATGTACCATGACATTGAAAGATGTCTGGAAGAATCTAAGACGACCAGTAGCTATAATCATTGGTGCGTGCTGCCAGTTCATACTCATGCCGCTGCTGGGCTTGTCTATAGCTCATATGTTTCAACTAAGCCCTGAACATTCTCTAGGATTGATCTCCATAGCAACATGTCCGGGTGGAGCATTCTCAAATGTTTTGACTTACTGGACGAGGGGTGACACATGTCTAAGGTACGTTATTCATACATAGCTACGGAGCAAACACCTGTAATTTGCTTTGTTTTTTTACTTCAATTTGTAGAGGAATGTGTGTCAGAATGGGTTGATATATATGTAATAATTTTTGGTTTACTATAAAAATCTGAAGAATGATTTATCTCGATATTTATCCACTTCACTGTGCATGTTATGTTCCGCTGGGACTGTGTAGCAGATTTCGTTGATCATCTTAAAATAGAAGCCTTCTTAGAAATGAAAATACACAGTTCATTCATTTTGCAACTTTTGGGCAATATAATAATAATAATTTTGTCTTACAAATGTTGGGTATTCCATCAGCCGAGTTGTCGAGAAAATGATGGGTATATTTCAGGGGTTAGTGGCTATTGTGTTTCTATGGCAAAGACAATATGTCATATCTCAACTGGTAGCCTGGTGATACAGGGAGGTAACTTTCTCAAACATTGTGAGTAGGCTTCTACCTCGAGAGCCTATACCCACTAAATGAATATTTTATATTATATACCCTAGCATCTGCATGACTACCTGTTCGACTATGATTGGTATTGGTATGATGCCACTGAATCTTTACATCTATAGTCGTAGCTGGTCAGATGCCGCAGCAGCTATCCCATATATAGACATCATCATTTCTTTAACTGTTCTCTTAGTTCCATGTAGTATTGGAATGTTTATATTGTGGAAGTGGCCGAAAGTCGCTGGATATATCGCACAAGTAAGAATTATGTTCCGATTTTCATGATACTGGGCTGACGAGTTGCATAGATTAACTGTTTAGTTATGTATAAATGTGATCGTAATAAATGTGCTAATATTTGAGACTTGTTGTTGCTTCCAAATAGTGTTCCATTATCTGGCACCATCGCCTCCGCTGTTCGCCTGATATCTAACCTCGGTGTTTGCAACAGTGAATGCGATAGAAAGAGTGAATGAAGCAAGATTTATTCGAGAGGTTAAGAAACACGTCAAGTGGCTCGCTCGCTTTATGAGAGATGATATTTTTCGGTTTTGTTTTGAATAAATAAGTTTTTGGCATATTCCTTCTTTTTACACAGGCGTCAAGCGTTCTGATGATGGCTGCTATACTCACCGTCTTAGGACTGATCTCTGCCATCAATCCCACCATATTTTACGCTGACTGGAAACCACACGTTGTATCAGCCGTTTATCCACTTGTCGCTTTTGGGTTCGGTTACCTGATTCCATTTATATTCCGCCAAAGAGGTCCAAGATGTCGCACTATTGCTTTCGAGACAGGAGTACAGAACTCTGCATTGGCGTTGACCATCATTAACCTGATGCTGAGCAGAGGAAAAAATGTTCTTGCTATGATGGTAATACCAAGTCTTCACGCGATCTATTTAGTAATCGAGTTTTTAATCGTAATGCTGGCTTTTAGATACTACTTCCACACACAAGATAAGAAGAAGGACCAGGAACAAGCAAAACTAAAGATGAACGATATACTTGCTGATTTGACAGTCGACCAGAAATCTATATCAAGTGAAATGAAGCAGGCCGAATGGAGTACAGCGGCAAAACCAAAACAAGAGGAAACATGGAAGTCTGCACTAGTGTATGCTGCCTCGGTTAGAAAGAATGGAAACCGAGAGAAGAGTGACAGCGAAATACAAACTGAATACTACCATAATTGTATGTACGACTCACGAGAGACAGTCACAGATGATGTTTTTTACACGATACCCAGCCCTATTAATGGCCACATCATTCCACCAAGACATCACGCAAACGGTAACATTACTCATTACTCCAACGGTGACGTTAATTCGTCAAGAAGTGATCAAGCCAACGGTGACGTCACGCCTCTGAGACTCCCACAGGATTGCATGGCAAATGCATATTACAACCCAACGTTCATTCTCGGACCTGGAGACGTTGTTTGCTTTGAATCTAATGTGTAATATAAACGCGGCTACAGACTGAAAACGTAATTATATTATTATAACCAAAATGAGTTAACGTTATAGCGATATAGCGTTATTAAATAATGCAAATATAAAGGCAGTAATTACTTATTATGACGTTTTCAAATAACAACATCATTTTCATTCACAGTATTTCTAGCAACCTTTCGAGAATTGTATTATATTATTATTTTTTTTATTGAACGATGTATTAGCAAAATGTATACGACAACTAAAAGAACAATGTTTTGCTATCAAATATTTTTAAAAATGTCGAACAAATGATGTCATATAAATAATATCAAGTTGCACATAAACAGTTTCTGAACTTGTTCATTTTCCACGAATTTCAAATCAGTATGAGAAAGGTATAGGAACCCCTTAGTAAACTTACCAAAACGGTCACATATTAAACTGGTTACACATCATATTGGTCAACTGGTCACATATCAAACTGGTGAAATATGAAACTAGTCACATGTGAAACTTGTAACACTTCAAGCCAGTCATATATATCAAACTGGGAACACATCAGACCGGTCACATATCAAACTGGTTACACATCAGACCGGTCACATATCAAACTGGTTACACAACAGACCGGTAACATATCCAACTGGCTGCACGTCAAACCAGTCACACATCACCTGGGGACACATCAAACCAGTCACATAGCAAACTGGTTACACATCAAGCCCAGTCACACATCAAAGTGGTTGCACATCAAGCCAATCACATATCAAACTGGCTACACATCAAGCAAGTCACATATCAAACTGGGAACACATCAAGCCAGTCACATATCAAACTGGTTACACATCAAACCAGTCACACATCAAACTGGTTACACATCAAGCCAGTCACATATCAAACTGGTTACACATCAAACCAGTCG